AACATGTTTACCTTGAGGAAAACACCCAGCACGGCCAAACCATCTGAATAACCTAGCGACTCACTGAGGTTGGAGTATTTGGTGTTCATGCTGACGAAATGGATCTAAAAATTGAGAACAGAATTTAAGTCCTAATAGGTAACGTTTTAAAACACGAACAGCAATGTTTAACCATTGGTTGAACGGCATTCAGCGCGAAAATGTGCTATGAGTGTTTTGAACAGCTTCAAAAGCGTCCCCAGAGTATTTCATTTCAATAGAAATAATAAATAAATTTAAATAATAAATTTTCCCTTTATTAAAAAAAACTTTTTGTTTGAAAAATGTCAAACAAAGGCAGCCGAAATAACAAATGCTAGTGATAGATATAGTTATGCAAATACACTATGCATTTGAAGTTGCTACACAGTTTCAGCGTCTATAAATGCCTTCGTTAAACGGCTAGTATCCAAGTAAAAAAAAATTTCACAGTTCACGAATAACCGCACATGAGGGAAAACACGCTGGAACAGAGAATTACAAACTGGTAAGAATTTAAGTAATTCGTGACTCATTTCACCAACTCATTCTTGAAACGGTTACAGTCGTATCTTGATACGGACTAGTTTGGTGTATTGTCTTTCGAATACGTTCTTACCGGTGGACGATTTGCTGTTCATTTTGGGATGAACATTTTTCTGTGTTCGGTAGATATTTTGTTAAATTTTTGATCAAAAGTTAAATTGCGAATTAAGAGGGCCGTTTTATAGAGCTTTTTCACATTATGTCACGGTATGTCCGCCATATTGTTGTCCGGGGGAATTAAAACTTAAGGTACCTTAAAAACACTTTTGACTCATCAAACACCGGGGGGGAAGGGGGGTGGGGGAGCACTCACCAAAAGACCCCGATGTCTAACCCGTTACCCTCATATACGATTTTTGACCGAAAGGTACTCCTTTCGTGTACAGTGTATTGACAAATTGTATCTCATTCCTAAATTAGAAATCTGTATCCTTTTTAACTGCTCAAAATGCACTGTCCTTTAATATGAATAAAGGCGCCAGCCATGAAGTATTTTTGACTTTTCACAGCCGTAAAATGCGTCTTTCAAACGTTTTAAGACGTTTTACACTACAAAATGAGAGATTTCCCTATCCTTTCACTTATTTCACCCTGTGAAATATCTACCCTCTCATATACGGGAATCCTGAAAAAAGGTATGGGAGGAGCCTCCCTGTAAAGAACATCATTGAGGTTACCTCCTCTGGGGAGGTAACACCATAGTTTATGTTACACAGAGTACATTTAAAGTGAAACTTCACCGTAAACTCTAAAAATGGGCAATGTCACCACACTGTAAACCTCACAAAAAAAACGCACCTCGGCAGGAAATTTATTCCCGCTCAGGGTATGTTCCGACAATAGGATCACTTTGACTAATTCTTATTCAACTCGTGTAACTGGCTTAAATAATCCGGCGCCGTTTACTCAACAAAGGCAGAGCGAAGCAAAACCCAATTGCGACTTAAGCACATAGAAGCGTTTTTCCTGGCTATCGTTTCAGCTTTTACCAAGGTAATCAGTCGCGGATCGAGGATAAATACTGACCGATTTCCTAAACGAGGGGCCGAGAGAGCAAGCTTCTAGGGGAGCCCGGGGACATGCACCCCCGGGAATTTTTTTGGATACTAACTCCCTAAAGTTCGCTTTCCCGCGTTTCTGATTCATTAGGGGCGCATCAAATTCCCAGAAATTGGACAAAGAAAACATTTGTCCAGACCATTTTCAAGATTTCAACTTGGAAAGTTCTATTATTATTAAAAATAAGTTTCTTATGAAAAATCTGACCGATTTCCGTAAAACGGTGGAAACCGGTGTGGATCCGGGCCTGGTAATTACTTTCATGATACAAAGCTTAACGCTGCCACATATAGCATCGAACATAACACACCTCAGCAGGATACATCATCTCGTCCATAGTGTGTTCCGATCCCCGGCTGTTGTTTGATCCCCNGTTTCTGATTCATTAGGGGCGCATCAAATTCCCAGAAATTGGACAAAGAAAACATTTGTCCAGACCATTTTCAAGATTTCAACTTGGAAAGTTCTATTATTATTAAAAATAAGTTTCTTATGAAAAATCTGACCGATTTCCGTAAAACGGTGGAAACCGGTGTGGATCCGGGCCTGGTAATTACTTTCATGATACAAAGCTTAACGCTGCCACATATAGCATCGGACATAACACACCTCAGCAGGATACATCATCCCGTCCATAGTGTGTTCCGATCCCCGGCTGTTGTTTGATCCCCAGTGCAGGTGCAACTGAACGGTGGTGTAAACTCCAGGGAGGCCACCTCCGCTTACGTTGTATATATTGCTGTCCATTGATACTTTCAAGGATTTACCAGTGTTTTTAGCGGTAAAATTGACACCAGCTGGTGTAGTGCCGTAGTTGACAAGTGTAAAATCACCCAGGCTTGAGTCATACATGGCTGTGGTGGTGTTGATGTCTATAGGCGACTGTTTACTCCCAGAACCGCAACTACCACCCCAACTGTTAGGTCCTAGAGAAGAATTACGAGGGCAATGTAATGTAAGAAGCGCAAAGAGATTAAAAATGAATCGAAAAAAATAATGACGATAATGAAGTCTTCAACCAACTATTGGACTTAATTATTTTATGTGTAGTGCTCTTTAACTGGGTTTTTGTCCTTGCAATCTAGTTTGGGTTAAAATATTCCAACATCCACCACCTATATACCCCGCAATGAAATGATCAAATGATTTACAATCAACCCGTGACCAACAGTTAAATCGTATATTCCACTTATCACAGCGAAACAGTGAAGCACGATGTGATGGAGTCGACATATTGCAGTTAAAGTTTTTTGGCTTTGCGTACGAAAACTTCATGACAACGTTATTTTTCAGAGAAGGAAAATAATCTTTTCATTAAACATCAGTACGCACTCAAAACCAGTCTCGTAAGCGACCACCTCGGGATTTCATGAATGAGTGGTCGTAGCTAGAGCTGGTCGTTTACGAGGGTGGACTCTCGTAATTTAATTGAGCTTGGTCGCTTTCGACTAGGGTTCTTCTACGTTGCACTTATCTAAATTTCAGAACTCTAGAACAAGAAAAAATGAAAACATACCATCCGCTGCATTTAAATCATAGCTCCAACCTAGGAAAACAATAGGTGTTACCGTCAGGTTAACGAAAAAATGATCAAACCAAAACAAGAACACAACACAACAGCTCTGCACGTGTATCATGATTTTTTGTAAAGTTCCTTGCCGCTGCTGCAGATGTACAACGTAAATTGAGTAAATTCTAAGTTAACTTGAGAACGGGAACGGTAAGGGGATAAATTTTACTATCTGCCTGAACTCGGGCGCGGTCCTCTCTCTTCAGCTCCAACTTAAATTTGCTTCTTTAAGTAACTGGACGACTTGGGATAGTCGTAAAAAGTTTGCCAAAGACTGCGAAGTCTTTTTATCAGCGACGATTTCATGGACGTCGCCGTTGTTGGATTGCAAGGTTCCTAGCCTGGGACCAGGCTCCACAATGAGGAAAAGAAGAAAAAAGAAAGAGAAAAATCGGCGCGCGAAGCGAGCGGAACAGAAGTCTGAGGAGGGAAAAGGGTGGTCCCAGGCTATTGACTATTTTCCAATTCCCCATAATACACTCTGTCTGCCCCCCAAATTTTGCATAACTTATTGTCTTAAAATGCTCTTGGGAAAATACAATACTCCCCGGAGCATTTAAAAACAATGGTTTATGCAAAATTTGGGGGGCAAACAGAGTGTATTATGGGGAATTGGAAAATAGAGAATAAGGTCCCTATTGAAGGTATATACTTCATGGCCGAATGCCATAGAGTCTCCACCCCACATGACCCCATGTAGTAGCTACAAGTGGGTATAGTAGCTATAGTAACTGTGGTAACTGTAGTAGCCGAGCTATATGGTATTCAGCCTTGAAGTATATGTCGTAGTTAATTTTTTGGCTCAGATAATTTTTGTTTTTCTATTGTTTTGGGGTATGGTAATGTATGTTAATCAGGTTGCAACAAAAGAAAATAAAAATTTGCTGAGATAAAAAATTCAGCTACAACATATATACTGACAGGAGCGTCCATCATGGAACTACAATCACGGACAAAAGTAGTTGGGAAGGTGGAATAACTAAACAACATTATTGCTCCATTTCATACGCCTTATGTCTATGTTCAAAAAAGATTATTTGTTCTTCTCCTGAATACCCCCCGCGCCCCCTATTCAATGTTGGGACATATAACAACAATTACGCACAAAAACAATTTAGTTTTGTCCAACATTGATCCAGGGGCGGGGACTGACAAGTACAAAAAAGGTAAAAATTGGTAACCTTCCCAACATTTTTGACGATGATTGTAGATGGGAAATATGGTTTTCTATGTGGAGAGGGTTTGGACATGGTAAGTTTTGTGGCTTTCGTGATGTGCTGAACACAGCTGGCTGTACATGCCGCAAAAATCTGTCCCATCATTAGTTAGATCTCGGGAAGCGAAATCACAGCAAAGCTATGCGACAACCACAAATTTCTATCGATCATTCTCTCATTTTTCCCTCACCAAATTAACGGCTAAGGGTGTAAAAAATGAAAACATACAGACTTGTATCGTAGGGCAAATAAGGTTGGCGGAATCACAAGCTATTTAGTCACTTTGCATTTGATGCCGTGTGTCTAATTTTGGACTTGGCGCTTCATTCGATGGAGACGCAAGTTTTGGCAAGAGATTTGTGCATGAAAACAGCAATGTAGGGATAACTTGAATAGTTTTCCTGTACAAAAATGTATAACGTACGTCGCACTACAATTCAATTTTAGTGCGCCTCTCAGAGTACATAGATCATGTTCCTCTCTGCGTACTATTTGCAATATTTCTTCGCCTGTCAGACAAACGTTGTTATCCAACTAACCGACGTGCTTTATTTTTTGAACATG